CCTAATAAAGATATAAAAAAAACTACTTGGTTTCGTTGTACAGTACTCTGCATTTGTCGATAATATTTATTTCGATATTCCTTCCTATTTGAATCGCTTCAGCAACTCAGATCCTGATTCATCATCACTTTTTGAGCACGAAGTGTTTTGACTCGTATTAATAGGCTTATAAATTGCTGTCGATTTCTCCATATTTAGGTGGTGGAAAGTTGAATATCTCACTAAGATGCTCGTTCCCCCACTACTGGCGTGCAAAAGGACCAGTACTAAGTAACTAACGGATTTCCACACTACATGCCATATAAGATAGACTCAAATTTAAGTTTAAATTACTTAAACTCTAGAAAACTTAGTTTACCTGTAGTATACTGAGTAAAATTTGCCCAGCCACATATTTTTTTTCGAATATGACAAAAATCGACGAAAAATTTACTCATTCTATAGAAGTATACACTCAAAGAATATATCACATATCCAATGGAAAATATTCATTAGAATTTCACATAACTTTCATGCGATATCATAATTATTTATATGATTTGAGTAGTAGCTATACTGAAGATCCGAGAGATGCCGCCTCTTCAGTGGTAGGAAAATCTGTTTTTGCAGTATGGAGAATATCAGAATATCCACGATTTGTGACTAAACATGCTTTCACAGAAGAAAACAAATAAACGAGTGTTTACCTTATCACCATAGTAATGTACTCGTGCAATTTTTGTGCATCTTAAACTGCCCATAAAGACGATAATGAATAAAAACTTAAAATTTTCATGCATTTCCAAATGGTTTCCTACCATTCCCATACATTCGAAAGTGACTGGCCCTCTGGATGTGGATGATGTCAAAAACAACAAAACATGATTAATTGGGAATTGCACCACAAAATCACATGAACCTTATGTGTGAAATGAAATTTAAGTGATTTATCATATAGAACTCATGTGATCATATGCATTTTATGTGAAATTGAGACATTTATCATTGGTTTTGTTAATGGACAAAATATTATGTACATTCCCTATGGAAGCTACATGAAAACTTTTTTCCGTGTACTAATTTCATATGTAAATCGTGATGTTGCTCATATTAGAAAACGAATTCTTGTAAAAGCTCGGAAAGTTGTACTCAGTCTATGCGTTAATTACTTTTTCAAGAATATGAGTGAACTAATCTCAACTTTGAGTTGACCTAATTTGTCGTGTAATCATAATTTATCTTTTTATTAATTGGCGAATCAAAACAAAGCCAAAACTGGCTATGCGACACCTAGTTTTAAGATCTAAATTTTCAAAAAATCATGATGTACTAAAAAAAAATCATGCTTGGGGGGGAGGTAGCTCATCAATTCTTCCGGTTCGCCTCCTAGCATCGTGCTATAAGGTACCAGGCGATAACCAGGGTAGTTGATCGATAGCTCGATGACGTCATTTCGTTGGCGTCTGCAATGGGAAATTCTCATAGCATGCGTTGACGATGGAACGTTGTCGAGTTGTTGAATAGCAACTATCGTGGTAACTCACCGATTACCTGTCGATCTGCCAAATTTGGAAAGACGTCTGCATTGAATTGTCTCATATAATAATATTCCGCCCACTATATTACAAGAAATTGCGAGTAGCTGAGTGGAATGAAGATAAGTTAAGCATTGGGTACAGGACCAAGTCTCCCCTGGGTGGTGCCAGAAGATGAGCGCAATAGAATCATCAAGTTGCCATAAGGCACGGAATGAGACTATTGCATGACTGGGTAGTCAAAGTCTTCCATTCGTTAGTCATTTCAGGTGGATTAGAACAGGTTTACGATTAGGGTGGGCGTTGGCCAGATTTGGATTTTTCATATATAATTTTAAATAGGACCTAGATTATTTAATACACTAGTAACCTCAACTTCTCTCACAATGTTTCATTGTGACTAATCAACATTCAATGGGTAAAATATCAAATTTGCGGTAAATTTGAAAAAAAGGTAACTTGGCGTGTAGAGCGCACTGCCCACTGGACGGTTCTGAAGCCTGACCAAGTGAGTGGGTTACGGGTTTATTTGATTGTACGTCATTTCCAAGTTATATATAGATACATTCATACCATTGGCATTTTGTATTTGAGATAAGACAGAGACAGGATGCGGAGGGCCTGCTTAGGGGGAGCGTAACCCATGTGATGGCTTCCATTTATTAAATAGTTCAGATAGGCTGGAAATGATAGGTTTATGGTGAGAAAATGTACCATATGGTGTCCGTTCACTGATCAAAATTAGATTCAAATCGTCAGACCCTGCCCTGTAATAAGGGGATTGACGATGATTTGTCAAGTTTCCTTTTGCATTTGCATATAATTGTAAGTTTAGGTTTGCTTTTGTAATTGTAAGATAGATAGTTTGCCTCAATTGAAACATTGAGTTGTATAAACTTGACGAATCATACCTCTAAAATAATAGTAGTTACAGTGCCGCATTATCTAACAACCACTGCCTACAACTAATGTTGAGGGGTCGGCAGGGCTGATTACGGATCAAAACTAACATAACTCTAACACTGAAATGATCCCGAAACTAACGCTCATTCATTGCACTTTGAGTCATAAAGTAGTTTTATTTATTTTCCTACTAATCTATCTACACACTTAGTTTTTTCTACCGAGCTCGGCTGTGCGGGTCTCGGCGGGAAGGGGGTTTCGCTGAGATCTCGGCGGGAGTGACATTTGATTGCTGAGTCTCGGATAATGCCTTTTCTAATAATCTGCCTACGTTTCTTTTCTTTGTTATCTACTTTATCCCCTTTTTATTTTTCTGCTCTTCTTTCCTCTTCTCTTCTTTTGTTTTGTTTGTTTACATATAACTAATACTAATACCTCCTTGTTTTCTCTCTAATTTGTCTACTATGTCCCACCATCACGATGAGAGATGAGCTACCGTACATGGTACACGCTCATATACACTCCCAAAATAGTATGCCGCAAGTAAGTATATCACAGAGGCAACTAAAGATCCAGAAACGCCGATAACGCTGAAGATAATGAGCTGTGGTGATTCATATGACTATATAGTATTATTTATTTATACTAACCTAAACACAACGTGGGATGACCCAAATCCAAACGATCACTAACCAAAATAATAGTCTTATCTTTTTTCAACAGGTGTAATTTCGTTTAGTTCTGTTTCTCTCTTTTCAGCAAAACAACTACAAAAAAACCTGTATCGGAAACTAGTGGGACTGTCTGTGCAAACAGAAACAGACCTGCTAGTGGAAGAAGGTCGTTATAACTCGCTTAACTCGTTTTCGGATTTGAGAGATCGTCGGTTACAGTGGCCTGCTTACTGAGCAGGAAAACGCGGTCCCAGGTCCTTACATATCAAAGAGATTTATGGTAAAATCGCTTGTGTATCGTGTATTTTGCGAAACTCGTTGTTGTCGTTAGTTCCGGGATTGAATGGATACAAAAATTTGAGCAACGGTATTATGTGATATGAGGGGCTCGATGGCCTTAGAGCAACCGTTTTTGCTTACTGAGCAGAACATCGTGAGTCTAATCTCAGGCCCATCCACATTCAAGATTCGTCAATCCTTTTATTTGTTAATGTGACTACATGGTAATAACAGCAACTCGGTGATTAAAAAGGTGCTCGTCTGCCTAGTGGCAAACGTTTTTGCTTACTGAGCAGAAGACCGTGGGTTTAGTCCCAAGCTCCTTCGCGTTATATGATCGTTAGGACATCAATTCAGCTTATCGTTTACCAAAACGAATCCTGCTGCAAACCCAACCCTCTTATCCAACATCCCAGTGATTCCTCGTGGAAGTGCAGAGGTGTTCTCGGCTTCCATCAAAACGAGTGTCATGTCAACACAATCCTTCCCATTCCTTTCTTGACCTGTGTTCGGGCGCGGCCGGCGCTGGTATTGCCTAATTTAAGATCACCAGTTTTTACACATTGAGGATGATTGCTAGTCCCAAGCATTATCTATTGGTTCTCTGTGTAATTACAGCTGATCTGGCAATAACAGAGTAGCAACCGTGGGCGGTCAATCAAGCTCAAGCTCAAGCTCAAGCTGTACTAAAAAAAAAATCATGCTATTTGACAGATATCAAAACGTCATTACCATTTTCACCGACTCGCCATCTGTGAGTCAATCGTTACTTTGATTCTTCAATTGCATTTAACGTATACACGGTAACCGCAAAATACCCAATAATGACTACAAAGTAAGCATTTTCGAGGGAAACTGGGACTACCCATTAAATGAGTGAAATTTTACCCATTTATGAGTAATAACACCTACAAAAACAAGTAGTAAGTATTCATTTTTTAAGTAACAAAAATTCATAAATGGGTAATATTTTTACTCATTTAATGGGTAGTCCCACTCTCCCTCGAAAATGCTTACTTTGTAGTCATTATTGGGTATTTTGCGGTTACCGTGTTCGGCGTAAATGGCTGCATTCCCAACTTCAAGTAGGTTCAATTGACCACTTTGTCAAGCAGTTTCAGCGTGACTTTCTACCAGCTATTTCACAAAACTGGACCAACTAATTTCTATTTTTTTGTGAAACGCACAAATGTTGGCTACTTTTTTCGAGGTTCTAGAAGAAAAAATCTCAAAATAATGTTTCATTTCAAAGTTCGAGTGGTAGTAAACGTCGTTTTATCTGCTCGAATGAAGTGGTTAATTAATGACTTCATTCGAGCAGTTAAAATGACGTTTACTACCACTCGAACTTTGAAATGAAACATTATTTTGAGAATTTTTCTTCTAGAACCACAAGAAAAGTAGCCACAATTTGTGCGTTTCATAAAAAAAATTGAAATTAGTTGGTCCAGTTTTGTGAAATCGCTGGTAGAAAGTCACGCCAAAACTGCTTCACAAAGTGGTCAATTCTTTAAAAACAGGTCTGTTTTGCTCGAACATGACTTTTACTGACATTTCAAATTTCGCATCTATTTCATGGCCACACACCCCTAGTCTCACTATTTTAACCACGTATTTTTACTCCTTACAGTATCCTCATGCTCCTTAACAAACGTCAGCTAGAAAAATTGAAGGAACAGTGGTGGAAGAACGATGATATTCAAAGCAAGTGTGAAAAACCGGATGATCAATCAGATGGTATTTCGATTCAGAATATAGGTGGTGTTTTCATTGTTATTTTTGTCGGTATAGGTATGGCGTGCATTACGTTAGTGTTTGAGTTTTGGTATTATAAGTATCGTAAAAATGTAAAAATCATTGATGTCGCAGAAGCTACAGAAGATAAAATGGCCCAAAAGACGTCCAATTTAAGGTTGCCAAATTTGAAAAATGAATTCGGTAATATGGGCCAAATTAAGGATGACAATCAAAAAACGCAAATTCTGAGAACACGTACCCAAACATTAGACGCCTCGAATTTCAAGTCTCGCTTTTAAGCATCAATGTAACTCAACTTTGGATACTCGCATAAACGCGAACCATAAATTGACCTTACCGATAATGGTCTAAGAGGAAGAGGAGACAATACGGGGGAAAACGAACCACTTTTCTGTCAAACGCGAACCAGCTCGTGATTGGCCGATTTCAAGTGCGTAAGATAGAGATAGAGATGAAAGAGTAAGAAGCCAGTTGTCTCCTCTTCGTGTTGGATAATGGTTAAATATAGCTTATAATCCCTCCTAAACATTAACTGAAATATTTATGGAACTTTACATGAACGTTTGTGTGATAAAGTTTTAACTTTATGTATTATGTTTTTTTGAAAGTGGACCTTACAAATAATGGGTTGTTAAGAACCATTACCATTCTAAAGTCTTGTTTTCTCCATACATACCCGGAAAGATAACTATGTTATAACCTTTAAACTTATGTTTTGAGAACTTTAATGGTTATGGTTATGGTAGTCAGTAAGGTCCATGGATGGTTTTGTATTATCGGTCAACTGATCATTAATTTACAGGCAACCAATTCGCGATATATTCCACATAAAGTTGATCGATGTTACAAAATCATAAATTAAAAGGTTCTACACTGAAAAAAGTTTTCACTTAGTTTCTATTAGGAACGCACATAATATTTTTCCAATAATAAAAATAATTATTTTTATCTGATTATCACATAGCATAGGAAATTCTATATGAGAAATCACATAGATTTCATTTGACACATAAATTTCATGTGATTTAGTGGTGCAATTTCCAATTATGGAATCACATGAAAGTTATGTGAAATTCACATGGATATTTTCCACTGGTTATGTGATTTATTTTACGAGTGTAATATAATTTCTTTTCCGACAAATTATGGAGAAAACAAGAATTTGGAATGGTAATGGTTCTTAACACCCATTATTTGTAAGGTCCACTTCCAAAAACCATAAAACATAAGGTTAAAACTTTGTCACACAAACGTTCATGTTAAGTTCCATAACTATTTCTGTTAAAGTTCAGCAGGGATTATAAACAATTTATAACCATTTTCGGTAATGTCAATCTATGGTTCACGTTTATGAGGGTAGTTAAGGCCCAAACGCAATGTGGACGGAAGTGGAACGGAAGCGGAAATTTGACAATTTTCACAAATGACATCAATTTTAATTTGGTTCTAACTAGTTTTCAATTCAACAAGTGACCTTACTCAGATCTGGCTTTTCCACTGCCGCTCCGCTTTCGTTGTCATTACATTTGGCGCTTTAGATCATATCCAGAATCACCTTAATAAACAAATACTATAAACGAGCTGTATCCCAGATGGATAAACTATCCCACAATTGGTTTTGATGATACCCCGAACGCGTCGTTAAGCTCTCTTTTATGGTTATTTTTATAAGGGCAGTTCATATGTTTTTATCACGAGTTATAGTCATAGGTCGACGACATTTTTGTTTTATTTTGTAAATAATATTAAATAAAAAAAATGCAGCGTCATATCACTGTATATTTTGTCATCGTCCTTCTGTTGGATTCACATATTGTCTAGTTGTTCTATTTTTTTCTACAAACTAATTTGACAACCGCTAGGATAGATCTTTAGCAGGGACCATACGAGAAAAAAATATTTATCAATATTTTTCCAAATTTTCCCCTACTCTTTTATAAACACACATCAATATATTGATTAAAAAATGAATTATTGACAATAATATCGATAGTGTAAGGTACAGTATTGGCAACAATATTGTCAATACCAATGTATTGATATGATTGACGGGAGTATTGATAATACGATTATTGTCAACAATATTGATTATTATCTCAGCATTTCTCGCAAACACCTTGTCGGCCCCTTGATAGGTGGGAAATGGCCGATATTTGGGTATAAGCGCCAAATACCTGGCCGAACAGTACTAATTGATTATTGTCAATAATATTGGTAGCTGCTTTAGGAGACGGAGGTATTGACAATACTATTATTATCAATAATATTGAGGCAAACGGGGTGCGCCACACGTTTTAATATTACCAGGGACCCCCGCCGTGCAAACTAAAATTGCTCAAACGTCATTCAGTATATGGAATGGAGGCAAGCTAAATTGAACATTGCGCAACGGAACCCAGAATCAAAACCAAACAGCAAATAAGGCTACCAGAAACATGCATTTATGATGACGATAGGGTTACTCGAAGCTCAAATTAAAAATTAACCCCGTTAAAATACATGAAGTGTCGTTCAGATTAGTGGCGGTCTTCTCACCGCATAAATGGAGGGATTACTGTATTGATTTATTGAATATTATTCGTTATTAGCTAATACCCCGGACAGACTATGGCTTATATCATGTAATATAGGCTGTCTTGCAATGAGCACTCATACATAGGATTTCCAGTGAAAAGTAGATGTATGAGTGCTCATTGCAAGACAGCCTATGTTACATGATATTAGCCATAGTCTGTACGGGGTATAAGGCGGAGTTGAAAACAATCAGCTGCCATGGCAAATCAGCACGGGATTGTTTTCAACCAGCAACTCTTTATTGCTCGTGTGATTTTTAAGCCCGGCGTAGACGATTCAATTCGGTGTTCAACTCATGTTAAATGCACGCCGACCTGATCAGAGGTGAGTTGAATCAGCTCACTTAAACCGTGAAAGCCCGGCTTAATGGTGAGAACAATTTGTTCAAGGATGTGACTATTCATCCGTCGTAACAATTGCCGTAAGTTCACACAGAAATTATTACCGTGTTCGGTAATTTGTTTTTTCCGAACGTTCGGTAAACTAAATGGCTACCGAACGATCGGTAAACAGATTTTTTTTATGAACTGCCAAAATTTTCCGAATTTTTTCCCGGAATGTTTGGTTTTACGAAACTGGATGACTACAACTTTGTTCAAGACCACTTTTCGATCAAATGTAAGGAAAAAAAAGTTAATAATGATTCAAGTTACTGATGTCTCATGATTATGCTCAATCAACATTGGTGTTTCTAGCACTAAAAATAAAGGACAAACATCATGGCTACCATGTCACACTGCAGAATACAGTGTTGCTCACAATACAGCTGCTAAACCATGCCATAAGATTATCAATCTCTTAAACAGTTAATAACTATTTAATTTGACCTTTGGCTGAAAAACGATCTTATGCAAAGTTGTTGCTGAGAAAATTGTCTATAATAATAGTGATAGAACTTGTTAACAGTACAATATGGAAAAGGCTAGAAGACAATAAAAAAGTTTGTTTTTCCCATATAATTTCCATATAAACTTCAAATGGTTTGTAAACATCAAATGGTTTTCTTACAATATGAGTTAAAATTAGGGTAATCAGGAACCAATTTGGAACCGTTTGAGCACTGTGGAGCGAACATCTCAAATTTTATCAGTCTACTCTCCACCTTAAGCCTGACATTGACATTCATTAAGTATCTCACGCAACTCTATATTGATGAGTTTTTTTATTATATCATGTTTAATTCTGCAGACTTATAGTACGTACAGACTACATATGTAGTTATAACATATTATAGCGCTAGCTTGATGGTGGTTTCAATTATTTGACAACCGTTTAAACATGTCCGCTGCATCCAAAAATGTAGTCAGAAAAAATCTCAGTAGGCTAGTTTTCTAAATACAACTAAAAACGGAAATTTCACTTTAAAATAGTTTGTTTGCTAAAACACAAACATCTCCGGCTGTAATGAAGCTATATCAATTATTCGAATGCAATTAAAGGTGAGAAAATTGTAAATATGCAAAATATTAAAAAATAAATAAAAAATAAGCAACTAATTAACAGCAATACCACTAATCTCACTGCAAAATAGCATCCAGTTGATCCAAAGCCAATTTTCTCACTTTTAATTTGGCATTATAATATTTGAAGCTCATTACAGCCGGAGATTTTAGGAAATAAACTTTTATTAGGTGACATTTAGTTTTAAGCTGTATCAAGAAAACTATCCTATTGAGATTTTTTCGGGCTACATTTTTGGATTCAGCGCACGTTTTACACGATTTGAACTGTAAATATGCTGTAAACTATTGTTATTATAACATGTTATAACTCTGTCGATTGAACGTGGTATAACAGTCGATCCAGACAAGAAAAATTTGATGATGTTCATTACGGATCATACGAAAAATACGATACGGAATGGAACTATCAAAATCAAAGTTACAAATAAGATTAATTTCCAGGAAGAAAATAATAAACGATGCTAAAGAAAAAACTGACTTTATCACTTTTCCACACAGTTTGCCACCAGCAATATATTTCCGTGGTATCACCTTTTTGGTTTCAAAATATTTGTTGCAATATTTTGGGATTTATCTCCGCGTATAAATAGTAATGTCCTTTAACTGAAGCTTGTTTCAATTAGTGGACTTAAACTCAAAAGACATTTAAATAGCAATCGTTTATGTATTATCAACTGCTGGGTTAAAGTGAACTTTATAATGTTAAAACTCTGCAGTTTGAACGTACTATAATGCCTTGTTCAGATTAAAAGTTATAACATGTTATAATAATTGTTATTATAGAAGAATACTTCAAGATAGCCTTATAACATGTTATGATTCACCAATGTAAACCATGTCGCATCCGTAATGTGTAAACATGTAATTATAAAAATATGGGTGCTGCCAGTATTATGGAATTTTTATTCGCCAATCTGTGTTTACTATACTGTGTAAAGGCTTTAACTTATCGGAACGACTATCGAAATGCCAAACGATTCGCGTCACGAAAGTTCTAAAAATTTATTTTGTATTGATTGAAACGAAACAACATAAATTTTTGAAACTAGGTGAAAACTAATACATAGCAGTCCCGGGTAGTAAAATTGACTTTTATTAATTTGTGAACATTACTATGAATGCTGGTTGAAAACATAAAGCTGTTACGGCAAATCGAATTAACATTGACTTCAACCAGCAGATCATTAAAGTGATCATCAAGACCGTATGCGAAGAGAAGTATGTGGGGCTTAGTTTCCTACACAATCAATGATGGTGTTAGTGAGAGATCTTTATGAGACATTGTGGGAAGAAGAAAATATATTAAAATATGAATAAAATTTGTTAGAACTTGTTTAAGTTTTCTATCATGTCTTTAATTTTGGTCCGAAAGTCCTTGGTTGTCTGATTTTCTTAAAATTTTAAAAGATCCGCAAAAAAGGGTGCAAGTGGAAACGGTTTTTTGAAAGTTGAACTTTGAGGCTCTCTGGAAAAAATAATAAAATAACATGTTTTCACATAAAAAGTTTCGTAAAATCGTCTTATATGAATAAATATCGCATTATTGTTAAGAACACATCTCAGCTCATACAGTGGGGTAAGTTGATACACATATATTTCAGTAGTTTTTCGATAAAAATACTCATTTATTTTCTCCAAAAACATGTATATCTACGTATTAAATAACCTTTCGAGGACTTATTTAACCCATTGC